CGATTCCTTCTATTACTCGCATATATATATATATATATATACACACACATACACATATATATGTGTGTATACATTTATATATGTTATTCCGCAAACAGTAATTTTTCCGTAATTGTTTCTTTACCCATGAAAACGATAGTGACTTTGTTGAAGGTAATCGCGTAAATTTACCAAGATATATATATATATATATATATATATATATATATATATATATATATATATATATAGTTTTCTATATTAAGAAGTTAGTTCCATTTCAACAACGGAAACTTGCAAAATTATTATTGAAAAATTGAAAAAAATTTTTTTTTTTAATAAAATGAAGAAAACAATTCAATTGTTAAAATAAGAAAATGTTTTTTTTTATTTAATTAAATAATATAGACAAAAATAAATTTTATTTTTGATTTTAAAAATTTTGAAAATTTCCATAAATTTTTATTTATTTATTTTTAATTTATTAATATTTCTTTATAAGTTTTTTTATTAAAATTTTTATTCGAAATTGTTGAAAAGGATTAAATTTTTTAAACCCGTTTACAATTTAAATAAATAAATAAATAAATAATAAATAAATTTTAATAATAATAATAATAATAATAATAATAATAAATAATTTATTAATATTTATAACTATTTATAATTTATTAATATTTATTTAAATTTTTTTTTATAATTTATTAAAATTATTTAAATATATTTATAAATTTATATAAATTTGCTATAGAATTCTTGATATTTGTATATAAATTTTATATTCTAACGAAGAAAGTAAAATTATTAGATAATTATGCCACTTACGTTGCAATACAATCCTTTAAAAGAAATGTTATTTCAATCATACATCAGAAAAAAAGTCACTACAATTCTGCCCTGCAATCCTTATAACTGTACATATATCTAGTTTCGTAATTTTATTAATTGCACAAAATTTCTCTCTCTTTTTTTTTAAAGAACAATTATTTCAATAATCATGATTTAAAAAACAATTTTAAAATACTAAATCATCATTAAAATCCTCAGAATGCGGAATCTTAGAATTTTTTTTCCCTTATAAAACAAATTTTTAAATATTTACATATTTTCAATATTATAATGAATGATCGAGATATAACAGTGAAAAAAAAATAAAACAAAAAAATTGTTCAATTGAATTTAAATAATTTTTTTTTTTCGATTAATTTTTACAATGATTTTTTTCTACTTCTCCAATTTGTTTCAAACAGTTTTTCAATCCAGTCTGAACAGGTTTGAATATATATATATATATATTTTTTTTTTTCAACGATTTTTGAATAATTTACATAAAAATTAAAAACAAAAAATATTGTGTTATTTGTCATTTTTTTTTCTAAAACTGTTCAAAATAGTTTTCAAACATATTCCAACAGATTTGAACTTGTTTTGAAAACAAAATTTTAAATATATTCAAACAAGTTAGAAATTGTTCGAAAACAAATTTCAAATAAAACAAAACAAGTTTTGAACAATATCCGAGTCTGTTTGAACAACTTAGGAGCTAATTGTTTCTGACCTTTTTTTTACAAATCATTCCAAACTGTTTTCAAACAATTTCAAACAAGTTGGAATTAATTTTTTTGAAAAAATGTTTTACTACTTTTCGAATATATTAGAAAACATTTTGAACAATTCAAAACAAGTTCAAAACAAGTTCAAAACTAGTTCAAAACTAGGTCCAAAACTAGTTTAAAACAAGTTCAAAACTAGTTCAAAACTAGTTCAAAACAAGTTCAAAACTACGTCCTAAACTAGTTCAAAACAAGTCCAAAACTAGTTCAAAACTAGGTCCAAAACTAGGTCCAAAACTAGGTCCAAAACTATTTCAAAACAAGTTTAAAACTAGGTCCAAAACTAGTTCAAAACAAGTCCAAAACAAGTCCAAAACTAGTTCAAAACTAGTTCAAAACAAGTTCAAAACTAGGTCCAAAACTAGTTCAAAACAAGTCCAAAACTAGTTCAAAACTAGTTCAAAACAAGTTCAAAACTAGGTCCAAAACTAGTTCAAATCTAGTTCAAAACTAGGTCCAAAACTAGTTCAAAACAAGTTCAAAACTAGGTGCAAAACTAGTTCAAAACAAGTTCAAAACTAGGTCCAAAACTTGTTCAAAACTAGTTCAAAACTAGGTCCAGTTTGTTTTAAACAAGTTTGAATTAATTTTAAACAGATTTTCAAATTTGTTTCAAACAAATATATTTTATTTACCTTGAACGAATTTTAAAAAAAAAAATAAATTGAAACTTGTTTGAAAAAAATTTCTCAACAATCATCTCGATTTTATTTTTATGACTTAATTATATGAAAATTGATTGCGTATAAATTTGTATGCAAGTATTATAGTAGTATAAATCTAAATAAGTAAAGAATTTTCTGTTAAATATTTAGCAGCTATAAGTGATAGAGTGAAAAAAAAAATTAAGGCACCGAGAGGAACTTTGTAAATTGGCATGTAACGACTCCATATTTGTAATGGTAGTTAAAAAATGTGTGTGTATGTGATTATATAAACTAGCCACTTTGAAATTGACTTACTTTTTTTTTTTGCTTCACTTCACTCTAAATAATAATAAAATAGTATTTTTCTTAAAATTTTATGAAAATTTTCACTTTTAACTTGAAGGCCTCTAAAAATTAATTAGATAACACATCTAAATTATAAAATGACTTAAGTGAAGTGTTATCGAATTACTTGCAATATTAATAATTTTTCTTATTTCGATTAAATCAACAAAAAATTTTTTTAAATTTTTTTCCCTCTTAATCTAAATTTATTTATTACTAACTTATGTAAAATAAACACGTGAAAGTATAAAATATATATATATATATATATATATATAGGCGAAATGAAGAATTTTGTCTCTATTTCTTTTTTTTTCTTTTCTGCAAAGAAATAATAAATTAAAAAGAAATTGAAATAATATTTTTTTTATTAATACTATAAAATTATATGCGCACATGATTTGTCATGTGTGTCACAGGTGAGCATTTTCTTTTGCGATCAGTGATGCAAAAATATATGCAAAATGTTACATTTAAAAAAAAAATATATATATACATAATTAAAAATTCAAATTACAAATAAAAATTGTCAAAAAATTGCAAAATAGTAAGTAGAGACAAAAAAAAAAATAGTTAGTAATTGTGAAAAATTTCCAAAATTATTTTTAAAAAACGTGAAAACTGTCCAAAATAAGTTTGAAACAGTCCAAAATATGTTCGAAGTTGTCCGAAACTAGTTTGGTATACTTCGAAACTAGCAGAAATCTGTTTTAACAGTTTTAATATTATTTGACAATAGATTGTAATTATTTGAAACTGGTTTGAAAATGTCCGGAAGTAGTTTTGAAATTCAACAGAACTAGTTAAAAAAGCACCTGTTGAAAACTATTTCAAAGTAGTTTAAAATTGTCTGAAACTAGTTCGGAACTGTTTGATACTAGATTAATAGTAACTGATTTAAAATTAGGTAAAATTATTTCAAAGTAGTCCAAAACGAGTTCAAAGTTGTTCGAAATTGTTTCCAACTAGTTAGAGGTAGTCCGAAACTAGTAGAAATCTATTTTTAACCGTTTTAAAATTGTTTAAAAATAGATATGTAAAACTGTTTGAAACTGGTTCGAAACTATTCAAAACTAGTTTGAAATTGTTTTTAACTAGTTGGAGGTAGTCCGAAACTAATTCAAAATACTTTGAAACTAGTAGAAATCTATTTTTAACCGTTTTAAAATTGTTTAAAAATAGATATGTGAAACTGTTCGTAACTGGTTCGAAATTGTTCAAAACTAGTTTGAAATTGTTTCTAACTAGTTGGAGGTAGTCCGAAACTAGTTCAAAATACTTCGAAACTAGTAGAAATATTTTTTTAAAATTGTTTAAAAATAGATATCTGAAACTGTTTGAAACTGGTTCGAAATTGTCCGAAATTGTTCAAAACTAGTTTGAAATTGTTTCTAACTAGTTGGAGGTTGTCCGAAACTAGTTCAAAATACTTCGAAACTAGTAGAAATATTTTTTAAAATTGTTTAAAAATAGATTTGTGAAACTGTTTTGAAACTGGTTCGAAATTGTCCGAAACTAGTTTGAAATTGTTCAAAACAAGTTGGAACTAGTCCAAAACAAGTACAAAACACTTTGAAACTAGGAGAAAGTTGTTCACTATTGGATTTTTAAAATTCAAAATGTCGGATTCAATGTGGACGTCAAAATTTTAAAAAATTTATCAAATTCGATTACGAAACTTTGTCACTCGGGGGTTTTTGAGGTCGCTGATTACGAATTTGAAGTCAAAATTTCAAAATAAAAAAAAAAAAAATGATGAATCCAGGACAAATAATTTTAATAGTAATAATAATTTTTAAAAAAATGAAATTTTTTTTTTTTGTAAAATAGAAACAAACAAATTTTTTTTGTAGCAAAAAAAAATAATTTTGTTAATGTAAATAAAATGTGGAGAGTCATATATGTATATATGTATAGCAATATCTTGATAAATGCATTCCACAATTGAGTCTTGTCAAATCAATTTTACATCAAAGGAGATTAATTTCATGTCAAGAAATATTTTTTTTTTCTTTTTTTTTTAAATTGATTTAAGATTCGTCGCATGTGATATGTAATACATGTGATTTGACAAGGATAGGCGGTATGGTGGTGAAAGGTTGTCTCGTCTTGATTGAATTGCGAATTCAATGGGGTGCACGCAGTGATGCCAATACAAGTGCACATACGCGTGCCATTCAACATTATATATATATATATATATATATATATATATATATATATATATATATATATATATATATATACCTTTAATCCTATATACGAAAAACATCACGAAACGTCAAATCGCATTTCTCTTTCTCCCTCGCTCTTTCTCTCTCTCTCTCTCACTCACTCACTGTTAGATATCGCGTGGGACATGGTATGGGGTTTAGAAAGATCCCATTCCCATATATATAAGACATTATCCATGAATTCGCAACAGTTTTCATTTTCTTCTGTGCGAGTGTTCAACGACAAGTGTTTTTCATAAATTTTAATATTAAAGTGCTAATAATTACTATTATTATTATTATTATTATTTTTATAATTTTTATTATTATTTTTTTATTTTATTTTTATTTTATTTTTATTTTTATTTTTATTATTATTATTATTATTATTTTTATTATTATTATTATTATTATTATTATTATTATTATTATTATTATTATTATTATTATTATTATTATTATTAGTATTATTAGTATTATTATTACTATTCACGAAAAAAAAATATTTACCTGGAACAGCGATATGTTTCACTGAAACAGCGAAAGTTTTTTCTATTCTAGAGAAACATATCGCTGTTTTAGATAAAAAAAAAATTTTCCATGTTTATTACGCTAGAATTTTTTTTCAAAATTCAATAATTGATAAATTACAAAAGAAAATTAACATATATATTTTTTTTTAATTTAAAAAAAATAAGTAAAAAATAATATAATAATAGTAATAATAAATTATTATAATAATAGTATTATTAATATATTATTTTTTAAAATAAAAAAAATACCCTACAATGCTAAAAATACAAAAAGAAAATTTTTTTTTTCTGTTAAAATAACATTTTTAACGAATGACAAATATTGATATACAATATATATATATATATAGTTTGTGCTAGTTTGTACTAGTTTGTTACTATATTTTTAATTAATTTTTTCTTTTAATTTGTTCAAAAAAAAAAAAAAAACAAAAAAAAATAGATAAATAAAAAAAAAAAATGGAAAATATAAAACATTGGAGAGCCGAATGTGTATTGTTATTGTTGATTGTATTTGTGGGATTTATTGAAAAAAGTGACAGTATACAGGGATGGGGTACACAAATTGGTCGTGCACCATTACTCGAAAGATATGCATGGAATGTATTGGATTTTGCATATCCAGATGAGGGAAGTAGACAAGCGGCCATTGACAAAGGCGATTACATTCCTGAAAATGCATTACCAGTTGGAATTGAAATTTGGCGAAATAAACTTTTTGTCACTGTGCCAAGATGGCGAGACGGTAAGTGGCAAAAACAAAAATGTAAAATTTTATAAATCAAATTTTTTTTTCAATAACAATAATAATTATTATCATCAGATTAAAAAAAAAAATTTGAAAAATTTGAAAAAAAAGAAACTAAATTAACTCTCAACAAGTCACAAACGTATTTTGAACCAGTTAGAATTTGTTCTGAACCAGTTGGAAGCAGTTCGAAACAAGTTCGATTATAAATCGAAAACTGTATGTTTGAAAAGTTTTGTAAACTATTCGAATTTGGTTCAAAACTGTTTTGAATATATTTGAACTTGTTTTAAACTAGTTTGGAGCAGTTTGAACTAGTTTGAACTACTTTAGACTACTTTGATTTACTTTAGATTAGTTTAAACTACTTTGGACTACTTTGAACTAGTTTGGGCTAGTTTAAACTATTTCGAACTACTTTAGACTAGTTTAAACTACTTTGGACTACTTTAAACTACTTTGAACTAGTTTTGACTAGTTTAAACTATTTTGAACTACTTTGAACTAGTTTAAACATGTTACAACTTTTACGGAATTAATTCCATTTTTTTAAAATTCTTTTTAACTATTTAATACTTGTACGCAATTAATTTGTAACAGTACATGAATATTCTTCGAAACTGTTTAGAACTAGTTGATACTTGTACGCGAACTAATTTATAATTGTATAAAAATTTTTTTAAACTATTTTGAACTAATAAAAATTTGTACAGAACTAATTCAAAATTCAAATTTGGTTTAAAACTGTTTTTTAAACTAATTAATATAACAATTTGAAACTTGTGCAAAACTGTTTTTAACAATTTAAAAACTTGTACAAAACTAATTTTAAAAAAAAGTTTAAACATATTTTGAACCAATTAGAACTCGTAAAAAATATTCAAAATTGGTTTAATGTTATTTTGAACCAGTTACAATTTTTGTTCAAAACTAATTTGAAATAGGTTCAAAGTTGTTTTGAACCAGTTCAAAATTGTACGAAATTAATTCAAATTTTTTTTTCAAATTCACTTTGAAACCAGTTAAAACTTGTGCAAAACTAATTCGATGTGGTTCAAAGTTGTTTTAAACCAGTTCAATCTTATACAAAACTAATTTAAAATTTAAATTTTTATTTGAAAACTATTTTTAACTAGTCAAAACTTGTACAAAACTAATTCGAAATTGGTACAAAGTTGTTTGGAACAAGTTAAAACTTGTACAAAAACTAATTCAAAATTAGTTCAATGTTGTTTGGAACCAGTTAAAACTTGTACAAAACTAATTCGAAATAGGTTCAAAGTTGTTTGGAACAAGTTAAAACTTGTACAAAACTAATTCGAAATAGGTTCAAAGTTGTTTGGAACAAGTTAAAACTTGTACAAAACTAATTCGAAATAGGTTCAAAGTTGTTTGGAACAAGTTAAAACTTGTACAAAACTAATTCAAAATTAGTCCAATGTTGTTTGGAACCAGTTAAAACTTGTACAAAACAAATTCGAAATAGGTTCAAAGTTGTTTGGAACAAGTTAAAACTTTTACAAAACTAATTCGAAATTAGTTCGAAGTTGTTTGGAACCAGTTAAAACTTGTACAAAACTAATTCTAAATTAGTTCAAAGTTGTTTGGAACCAGTTAAAACTTGTACAAAACTAATTCGAAATTGATTCCAAAGTTGTTTGGAACTAGTTAAAACTTGTACAAAAGTAATTTAAAAATTGTTATCAAAACTATTTTAAACTAATTTGTAATCATTGCAAAAATTTTCTTTAAAAAAAGTTTTAATAAAAAAAAATATATATATTTAAAAACTTAAACTTCAATTCAAATATACGGACTCAACACAAAAATTAAGGTAGATTGAGCGGAAGTCTGACTCTTGTTCCTTTACTTTCTCTCTCTCTCTCTCTTTCTCTCTCTCGCTGAAATATCTCGTCTGGACGACTTCCGGCTCGCGACAAAATAAGAAACCCCCAAAAAATTTGCGAAGTTTTACTGACGCCTGAATAGAATTTTTGCTTATGCCCACTAAAATCTGAATCAAACTGGTAACCCCGCCGCCGCCAACTCAATGGAACTCATTCAATCTCTCGTTTCTCTTAGATTGGAGAGGGGAATTGTCGTTTTTTCTTCTACTTCTTCCTCTTTTTTTTCTTCTTCTTCTTCTTTCTCTTATTCTTCATCTTCTCTACTTTAGAGTTTCTTGTACTTTATTGTATATGTAATGGCGCGCGCCAGTGCATTGTGAACCTCTTGTTGAACACGTTATAGGAATGACGCTGGCGGCACACACTGTGTATGAGAGATCTCTTCGAGTTCGGCACCTTCTCTCTCTCTCTCTCTCTGGCTTCCTTTTTACTTGAACCCCTCTCCTTAAAAGTACATAAAAATCCTCCAAACAGAGTTAGGTCTCTCTCTCTCTCTCTCTCTCTCTCTCTGTACTCCTCCTTTTCTTTTTTTTATTCTCGGTCTTTTTTTTTAATTCTTTATTTTCAATTCACGAATGAATTTCCGAAACGCGCCAAACCATTGCGGGAAGTACAACCCCTCGAAACTCCCCCCCCCCTCTTTTTTTCTCTCTCTCTCTCTTTTTATCCCCAATCTCTATTTGGACCCCCTCACAAGTTCGTACTATTGTTTAGAGGCAGGTTTTTGTGTGGGCTGCCGGTGCTGTCCCATTATTTCCATATAACGTCAGGTTCCAGACACAAAATCCCTCTTCTTCGTTCAGTGAACTCGCAAATTTCATCCGTCAAACTGGGAGCTAAGTCGATCTTTCTTTTTATTTTCTTCCTTTTTTATTTTCTTTTCGCAAAAAACAAAAAAAAATCATACGAATAAATTATTTAAAACAAAATCCAACATTTTTCAATTATATTTTTTTACATTATTAAGAGGAAAACAAAAAAAAATTATTATTAATTAATAACAACCAGTAATCAGATTATTTAACATTATTTTGAAATTAAAAAAAAAATAAAAAAAAATCTTGTATAAAACTTATTCATACTTGTATAAAAATTGATTTTGAACTTTTATAGACTCGTACTAAATTTATTTTGAAAATACCTGAAAGATGTTTGAACTTGTACGAAACTTATTGGAACTTGTATTAAATCGCTTTAAATTTATTTGAACTTGTACGAAATCCATTTAAATCTTGTACAAAACTTGTTTGAAGTTGTACGAAACTTGTTCGAACTTGTACGAAACTTGTTCAGATTCGTACTAAACTTATTTGAACCTGTACGAAACTTATTAAAACTTGTATAGATCCATACTAAACTTATTTGAACCAGTACGAAACCTGTTTGAACCATGTACAAAAATTTGTTATGGACACGTAAAAAAAACTTATTTGAACTTGTTCGAAACTTATTTGAACCTTGTACGAAACTAGTTTGAACTCGTATAAAAACTTTGTGGTACTTATTCTAAACTAGTTTGAACTTATTTTTAACAAAAACTTGTTTCAACTTGTACATAACTTATTTTGACATTTACAAAACTTGTTTGATCTAGTACGAAATCTATTTGAACCTTGAACAAAATTTATATGAACTTGTACAAAACACATTTAAACGTGTAAGGAACTTGTTTGAACTTGTTTCAATCAATAAGAAAAATGTATTTTAACTTGTTGGAATTTATATCGATTCGTGTTAAATTTATTTAATCATGTTCGGAACGTTTTTAAAACTTGTACAAAATTTGCATGGACCAAACTCATTTAAATGTATACAAAACTTGTTTGAACTTGTATCGACAAGTAAAAAACGTATTATAACTTGTACGAAACTTGTTGGAACTTGCTTCGATCTGTACTAAAGTTATTTCAACATGTTCGAAACTTATTTGAATCTTGTAGAAAATTTTCATAAACACAACTTATTAAAATGTATAAAAATTTGTTTGAACTTGTACGAAACTTGTTTTAACTTGTCTATAACTTATTTAAACATGTATGAAACTTGTTTGAACTTGTATAGACAATTAAAAAAAACACATTTTAACTTGTACAAAACTTGTTTGAACTTGTTTCGATTTGTACTAAAGTTATTTGAACATGTTCGAAACTTGTTTGAAGTTGTACAAAACTTGTTGGAACTTGTATCGACAAGTTAAAAAAAACGCATTTCAACTTTTACGAAACTTGTTGGAACTTGTATCGACATGTTAAAAAAACTCATTTCAACTTGTACGAAACTTGTTGGAACTTGTTTTAATTTGTACTAAATTTATTTGAACATGTACGAAACTTGTTTCAAGTCGTACAAAATTCATTTTAACTTAAAAAAAAGACGTTCGAATAAATTTAAATTTCCAAAATTTAAAGAAAACTTGTTTAAACTTGTACAAAACTTATTTGAACTTGTAAAAAAAATTTTATTTTGACTCATACGGAAAACTCTTTCCAACTTATTCAAAACTGTTTCGATTTTATAGGCAAAAAATTTTTTTGATACCTATGTTTAATTTATTTAAATTTATTTTTAAAATTGTTAAAAAAAGAAATTTGTCTCAACATTTGTATTCCATTATTATTATTATTATTATTATTATTAAAAATTTAATTTGATTCTTATAAATAAAAAATAAAATAAAAAAGTCTATAAAAGAAAAATAAAGAAAAATTTTGTAAACTGTTGATTATTATTTATGACCAAAAAAAAGTCATGTTTCTTTTTTTTTTATTTTAATATGACAGGAACACTTCTATGATATATACCAATCAATGGAATATTGTAATTACTTCTATCCTTAAAAAAAAGCGGAAAAATAAAAACAAGTCATTGTAATTTATTTAGTTCGTTTATAATTTGTTATTAGCTTTATAAGTCAATAATATTGCTTCCTTAATGTATAATCAATGGCAGTTTTTCTTTACTCAACGGGAAAAAATAATATGTGATAGAGAAAGAGAGAGAGAGAGAAAGAGATTGGGTGGGACATACGGTGATCGTGTTTTATAGTCGTTATTAACAGTCGTAAAGTTTAATGAGTACATTGAAACCTTCATTTCAACGTGCTTTTGATGTAATTTCAAATCTCTATCTTTGATTAGAAATATAGAACCAAGTACAGTACACTTTCGATTATTTCTATAACATTAAACGAAACTGAATTTTTAATACAAGGACAGATACTTAAAATTGAAATTAATAATAAGAAAAAATTTCATATTTCCAAATAATTATCTTTCAATTGAATTAATTTTTTGTAACGAATTTTTTTTTTATCCATTTATTAGAGTGTAATTGTCTCTCCTTTTTCTTATAATATCTATAATAATTTCAATTTTGTTTCGTGTAATGTAATTTCATTACAACTTTGCTTACTACATTTTCCCATGGTTTTTTTTCGACAAAATTGTTGGATCTTTTAAAAACAAAAAATCTAAAATGTGATTAAAAAAATATTTCAAAAAAAATTTATAAAATTATTAAATTTATTCAATAAAATTTTAAAAAAAATTTAAACTTGTTTCAAACTTTTTGAAAACAATCAGAAAATTATTTTAAAAAAGTTCAGAACTTTTTTGAAACAATTTAAAACTTGTTTAAAACTTTTTTTAATAATTTGAAACTTGATTAAAACTTTTTAAAACAATTTAAAAATTATTTAAAACTATATTAAATAACTTAAAACTTTTTAAAATAATCTAAAAGTTGTTTAAAAGTTTTTTAAAACTACATAAAATTTTGTAAAACAATCTAAAAATAATCTAAAACCAGATTTAAACTATTTGAAATTTAATTAAACTATTTACAACTTGTTTAAACAATTTAAAACTTTTTAGAATAGTTTAAAACTTATTTAAAACTTTTTTTAATAACTTGAAACTTGATTAAAACTTTTTAAAACAGTTTAAAATAATTTAAAAATAACTTAAAACAAATTTTAAAATATATAAAATAAATTTAAAACTATTTAAAACAATTTAAAACTTTTTGAAACAACTTAAAACATTTAAAAATTTTGTAAAACAATCTAAAAATAATTTTAAACTACTTTAAATAACTTAAAACTTGCTTTAAATTTTTTAAAGCTATCTAAAATTTGTTTTAAACTTTTTGAAATAACTTAAAATTTACTTAAAACTTTTTAAAACAATTTACAACTTGTTTAAAACTTGTTTAATACTTATAAAATCTATTTAAAACAAGTTTAAAACAATTTACAACTAGTTTAAAACTTTTTAGAATAACGTAAAATTTGATTACAATTTTGCAAAACAATTCAAAAATTATTTAAAACTATATTAAATAATTTAAAATTTTTTAAAACAATCTAAAACTTGTTTAAAACTTTTTTAAAACTACTTAAAACTTTGTAGAACAATCTAAAAATAATTTCAAACCAGTTTTAAGCTATTTAAAATTTGTTTAAACAATTTAAAACTTTTTAGAAAAATTTAAAACTTGTTTAAAACTTCTTAAAACAACTTAAAACTTTCTAAAACTGTGTAAAATAATCTAAAAATAATTTAAAACAAATTTAAAAATATTTAAAATAAGTTTAAAACTATTTAAAACAATTAAAAACTTTTTAGAATAATTTAAAACTTTTTTAAAACTTCTTTAAACAACTTAAAACTTTCTAAAACTTTGTAAAATAATCTAAAAATAATTTAAAACAAATTTAAAAATATTTAAAATATGTTTAAAACTATTTAAAATAATTTAAAACTTTTTGAAACAACTTAAAACATTTAAAAAATTTATAAAACAATCTAAAAATAATTTAAAACTATTTTAAATAACTTAAAACTTGCTTAAAACTTTCTAAAATTTGTTTTAAACTTTTTGAAATAACTTTAAATTTGCTTAAAACTTATTAAAACAATTTAAAGCTTGTTTAAAACTTTTCAGAATAACTTAAAATTAGCTTACAATTTTTTAAAACAATTTAAAACTTGTTTAAAACTTTTTAATACAAGTTTAAAACAATTTAAAATTTGTTTAAATAATTTAAAACTTGTTAAAAACTTTTTAAAATAACTTAAAATTTTCTTACAATTTTTTAAAACAATTTAAAATTTGTTGGAAATTTTTTGAAATAACTTAAAACATTTTAAAACAATCGAAAACTTGTTTAAAACTTTTTAAAAACAATTAATTAAATTTAAAATTAATTATAAAACTGAAATTACACTGTTAATTTAACTAGTTGTATTTAGTTCCGATTTTTTTTTATTTTAAAATAAATTAATGTATTTTAAAATTTAACAAAAATAATAAATAAAAAAAAATGTTTGATAGTTAAAGAAATAATTGTTTCTAAGTTTTTTAGAACCACTTAAGAAATTTACAATTTTTGATGAAAAATTTAAAAAAAAATGAGTTCATTCAGTTACTTATATATATATATATATATATATATATATATATATATATATATATATATATATATATATATATATATATATATATATTCTATACACAGGTGTTCATTTATAATGACTATCGACACGCTACTTTTCAAATATTCTCAAATTATATCTTTTTTTTCTATAGACACACAAAGAGAATATTATTATATCGATTATAATTAACATGTCAGTAGAATATTGGTTTGTTCCACAACACAAATTGGTAATTATTAGCTAGATTATTGGTCACTAAATTCTCTCATATTTTTCTCTAATATTTGTTTTTTTCTTCTTCTTCTAAAAAAACGAAATGCAAACATTTCTATTTGCTTTGAATAAATTATTTATAAAGTTCCGTGTGTGCGCGCGCGATAGAAATATCAAATGTGTAACGAGATTTCTCAGAAAGTGACAAGTAAACAGGAAATTCTTTCTAACCCATTGAAATCTGGCAATTAATTTGTAAAAATGTTAATTAACATTTAAAACTTTCTCAACTCATTCATTAATTTATTGAAAAATAAATTCTTAAATCAATTTTTAATTTACATTTACTGCATAATTTTAGTATTTTCCAAAAAAATTAATTTTTCTAAAAAATTTAACAAACAAAAGTACAAAAATTTGTTTTTATAATAAATGAAAAAAATATTTGAAAAATAATAAAAAAATATAATAAAATTTATTTTCTAAAATCTATATTTGCAAATTTTTACAGGTATTCCAGGAACTCTAAATTACATTTCTTTGGACACGAATCAAAGTGGATCGCCAAAATTAAATCCCTATCCAAATTGGGCTCAAAATACAGCGGGAGCATGCGGTAGTGGTCTAACAACTGTCTACAGGTATAGTAATAGTTTTTTCAACTAAAAAACCTGATTTTTCATATGAATAAATAAAAAAATTTCATTTCTTGTAACAAAAATTATTTCTAATTTTTTTCATAATTATTATTTTTTAGAATTCATGCAGACGCATGTGACAGACTTTGGGTATTAGATACAGGAACAATTGGAATTGGAAATACAACAGTTCAAGCATGTCCTTATACCCTTAATGTTTTCGATTTGACAACTGACAAACTTATCAGGCAATATAAACTTCGACCTGATGACATTAATCAGGTTAGTCTTCAAAAAAATAATTTTTATTAAAAAAAAATTTTTTTTCAAGTTTTAAAAACAGATGCAGATTGGATCCAAAGTGGTTTCAACTGGTTTAAATTTGTTTCATTCAAACCGGTTCGAATAAGTTTATAATAGGTTTGAATTTGTTTTGATCTAATTTCAAATTGCTATAAACTGATTTTAAATTGCTACAAACTAGATTTAAATTGTTACAAAGTAGTTTCTAATTGTATGAAACTATTTTAGATTGGTTTCTAACTAGTTTTTATTTGTTAAAATCGGTTCTAGTTTTATTAAACAAGTTTGAATTTGTTTTATACAGATTCAGATGCATAGTTCAAAATGTTCTCAACTAGTTTGCATTCGTTTGAATCAAATAAGTTTGGATATGTTTCAAACAAGTTTGGATATGTTTCAAATAAGTTCAAATATGTTTAAAATTGGTTCGAATTTGTTTCAAACTAATTTCAAGTGATTACAAACTACTTTCAAATTGTCAGAAACTAGTTTCAAATGGTTACAAACTTGTTTTTAATTTTTGATAAAAAGTTTGGCTTCGATAGAAAACATGTTTCAGTTTGTTTCAAACAGGTCCCTATTGGGCCCAAAGCGGTTCAAAATAGTTTTGAATTTAATTAAAAGAAATACGTTTTAAAATTGTTTTAAATAACATCTAGCTGGTTCGAACAAGTTTGGATTTGTTTCAAAAATAAGTTCGTAAATAGTTTTGTAATTGTTTGTAACAAGTTCATAACTAGTTTCAAACTAGTTTTGTACTTGTTTGAAACAAGTTGGAAACTAGTTTTGTATTTGTTTAAAACAAGTTTGTAACTAGTTTCGAAGTTGTTTGAAATACGTTGGAAACTATGTTTTTACTTGTTCGAAACAATTTGAAACTAGTTTTGTATTTGTTCAAAACAAGTATGTAACTAGTTTCGAAGTTGTTTGAAATAAGTTGAAAACTAGTTTTGTATTTGTTCAAAACAAGTTTGTAACTAGTTTCAAAGTTGTTTAAAATAAGTTTAAAACAAGTTGGAAACATGTTTTATATTTGTTTGAAACAAGTTTGAGGCTGTTTTGAACAACTGGATTTGGTTTTAAACAATTTTTGATTAAAATAAAAAAAAAAAAGTTTTCTATTCCAACTTGTTTATATTCGTCCAAAATTGATTTAAACTTGTTTGAAACTAATTTAAATCTCTTCAAAACAAGTTTGTAAAAGTAAAATGAAAAAAATTTTTCTAATAATAATATATAATTAAAAAAAAAAAAAAAATCATTTAATTTCTTTCAGAATACATTTATAGCAAACATTGCCGTTGATTTGGGTAAAAATGGATGTGACGATGCATTTGCCTATATGTCTGATGAATTGGGTTATGGTTTAATTGTTTATTCATGGGCATTGAATAAATCGTGGCGTGTTACTCATGGTTTTTTCATGCCCGATCCATTACGTGGTGATTATAATATTGGTGGTCTTAATTTTCAATGGAGTGAAGAAGGTATTTTTGGTATGAGCCTGTCGCCATTGGCCGCCGATGGTTTTAGAACATTATTCTTTCATCCTTTAAGTAGCAATCGAGAATTCGCCGTATCGACCAGAGTTCTTCGAGACGAACAGCTGGCCCTCGATAGTTATCACGAGTTTCAGGTAATATAATTATTATTAATTTCTCTTTTTTTTAAAAAAAAAAAAAAAAAAAAAACTCATCTCATCGACACCTTTGCGTCAAATGATTTACGAGATTTTAAATCTGTACCTTTCTCTCTCACTCTCTCTTAAAAAAAAAAAAAACTCTGCCGTTAATTCTCTTCAAGGAAGTGTGAACAGTTTTAAGTGGTTTTGAATTATTAAAATAAAAAAAAAAATTTGAAATTCATCTTCACAATTCCAGGATAAACGAAATAATCGAGAGAAAGTTTAATCGGCATAAATTTTTTTTTTTCAATAAGCGAAAAATTAATAAAAAATTAATAAAAAAAATTGTACAATTATTATTTAGTGGTTTCAATATAATATGAGAAAAATTTTTATTTTTTTAAGCCATTATCAGAACGAGGACCACTTTCACATTCAACGGCAGAAATTATGGATGAAAATGGACTTCAATTCTTTAATTTAGTTGATCAAAATGCTGTTGGATGTTGGAATTCTCTTTTGCCTTTTAGTCCTGCAAATCATGCAGTCGTTGCCCGACACGACGAGGCCATAATTTTCCCCGCTGATGTCAAGGTAATTAGTTTCTTAATTATCATTTAATTAATATCCGACTAATTACTATACAAAATGGGACGGGCGAGAGCGCGCGCGCAAGATAATTTACAATTTTTTATTTTTTTTTAATTTTCTCTCTTAATAAGCAAAATATTAAGTAATTATAATATACAATTAATTTACGTTAATCATGTGATAAATTTATATAAAACTTTTTTTAAACATTGTTTGTCAAAATTTGTTAAAAATTATTTTTAAAAGTAATTTTAAATTGTTTCAACAATTTTAAATTGTTCAAAACTAGTTCTAACAAGTCAAAAGTGGTTTTAAATAATCTGAAACTTGTTTTAAATTTTTTAAACTAGTTGGAACATGTTCGAAACTAATTTTAAATTATCATAACAATTTTAAATTGTCACAAACAAGTTCTAACAAGTCAAAAGTGGTTTTAAATTGTCTGAAACTTGTTATAAATTGTTTAGAATAGGTTAAACTTGATTCAAACTAATTTTAAATTGTCAAAAACTAGTTCTAACAAGTCTAAATTGCTTTTAAATAAACGGAAACTTGTTTAAAATTGTTAAAACTCTTTACAACATGTTTGAAACTTGTCCTAACAAATACAAACTGCTTTTAAATGGTTTGAAATATATTTTAAACTTTTTAAAATCATTAAAATATATTCGAAACTAATTTTAAATTGTTGAAAACTAGTTCTAACAAGTTCAAAGTGGTTTTAAATGGTCTGAAACTTATTTGAAATTGTTAGAACTGATTATAACGTGTTTCAAACAAGTTTTAAATTGTCCTAATAATCTTAAAACTAGTTTTAATAAGTCGAAACTTTTTTTAAGTGATCTGAAACTTGTTGGAACTTATTCGAACAAGTTAAAACGTATTTCAAACTAATTTTTTATTGGTCTAACAATTTTAAACTGTCTAAAACTAGTTTCATTAAGTCTAAACTTCTTTTTAATGGTCTAAAACATGTTCGAACTTGTTCGAACTAGTTAAAAAGTGTTCCAAACTAATTTTAAATTGTTCAAAACTAATTCTAATAAGTTAAAACTGTTTTGAAATAGTCTGAAACTTGTTTGAAATTGATTTAATTAGTTGGAACGTATTTGAAACTTATTTTAAATTATCCTAACAATTTTAAATTATCACAAACTAGTTCTAACAAGTCAAAAGTTGTTTTAAATGGTCTGAAACTTATTTTAAATTGTTTAGAATAGGTTACACTTGATCCAAACTAATTTTAAATTGTCCAAAACTAGTTCTAAAAAGTCTAAACTGCTTTTAAATGATCTGAAACTTGTTTAAAATTGTTAAAACTCTTTACAACATGTTTGAAACTAGTCCTAACAAATACAAACTGCTTTTAAATGGTTTGAAATATATTTTAAACTGTTTAAATACATTAAAACATATTTGAAACTAATTTTACATTGTTCAAAACTAGTTCTAATAAGTTAAAACTGCTTTGAAATAGTGTAAAACTTGTTCGAAATTGATTTAACTAGTTGGAACGTGTTCGAAACTAATTTAAAATTATCCCAACAATTTTACAATGTCACAAACTAGTTCTAACAAGTTTAAAATGGTTTTAAATGGTCTGTAACTTATTTGAAATTGTTCGAACTAGTTATAACGTGTTTCAAACAAGTTTTAAATTGTCCTAATAATTTAAAAACTAGTTTTAATAAATCGAAACTTCTTTTAAGTGATCTGAAACTTGTTGGAACTTATTCGAACAAGTCAAAACGTATTCCAAACTAATTTTTAATTGTCCTAACAATTTTAAACTGTCTAAAACTAGTTTTATTAAGTCCAAACTTTATTTTAATGGTCTAAAACACGTTCGAACTTGTTCGAACTAGTTAAAAAGTGTTCCAAACTAATTTTTAATTGTCCTAAACTAGTCCCAAAAAGTAATATCAAATTTGAACGTCATTATTTAAGAGAAAATAATTAAAAAAACGAAATTTTTCTATAAATTCATTCTTAACTATTCAAAATGTATTTAAAAATAATTTTCCATCTATTTTAAAGTTATTAAATATATTTCAATTGACAATAAATTTAATTTTAACATTTTCTAAAGTTTTTCGATTAAAAAAAATTCTAATTTTTCTTAATTAAAAATCATTATTAAAATTTGAAATAGTAAAAAGAAGAAATTAAAATAAAATTGTAGATGTTTAGTAAAAGTAGAAATTGATTAAAAAAAAAGAAAAAAAAAAAAAAAAAAAAATTCACAAAACCCAGAAGTTTGTGCAATAAAATATAAATGTTAAACAGGTTATTCAATAACCAGAATATCATGGGCCTCATCAATAAATGTAACACATATATATATGAAAAAATTGTTGACACGCTAGTTCTAAAAGACCTACATCAAGATAATACGAAAAATTGAACTTGTCTCTCGAGAAATTTTCTATTAAAATATTGCTCAAGCCACACACACACATATATATATATATATATATATTTATAAATATATTATAAATTATAAATGTTTTGGAGAGTGTATAATATTTGATATCATTGTACAGCTAGTGGCATACAATCTGATTCTAATTGCCAATTTCTGAAGCAACTGACAACTAGAGTGAAAGAGGGCGATGCAAATCAAACATAGAAAACGATCGAGATAATATGTTTTACGAATAGAAAATGGTCCATTCACTTCTAACTCTATAATCGTTGACGTGAGATTGGTTTCTCTCACGGTATAAAATCAATTCCTAAATTTCAAATGGAAAATGGAAAATTAATCTCGTATGTTTAAAGAAAGAAAATAAAGAAATAAAATAAAATTTTTAAATAAAAATTATAAGAGAAAGAAGGGGGAAAAATTGTTTATACATTCAAACTGTTTCAAACTAGTTAAAAAATAGTTTAATTTAAATAAATAAATAAATTTCTAAAGAAATAATTTAATAATAAAAAATCAATAATAATAATAATAATAATAATAATAATAATAATAATAATAATAATAATAATAATAATAAAAATAATAATATAATTAATATTAATAATAATAATAATAAAAATAAAATAATAATGATAATAATAACAATAATAATAATAATAGTAATACACCCATAAGACAGATTTCTTTGATTTAAAGAAATCAATTTTTTTGACAAATTTTTTTTTTATACAGAGAAAATTCAATTGTTTCAAACAAATTATCTTTGAACAAAAAAAAATTATCGTCGTTTCAAAGAAACTTTTTATTTAATTCAAATAATTAAAAAACAAATAAAAATAAAATAAATATAAAACAAATAAAAAAAATAAATAAATAAATGTTTCTTTGACTCTACCCTGAAAAAAAAATTATTTGATTCAAATAATCATTTTACTATTATCAAATAAATATTTTCCTGTACCAAATAAATATTTTCCTGTACCAAATAATTTTTATTTGAATTAAATAAACTATATATTTGAATCAATAATTTCTTTATTTAAAAAAAATACCATTTAATTGATTCAAATAAAAATTATTTGGTTCAAGTAAATATTTATTTGATAATAATTTATTTGAATCAAATTTTTTTTTCAAAATCAAAATTTTTTTTTTTTCAATGTAAAAAGTTTTCTTTGTATCAAAGAAAATTTTATTTTGAATGAAACAAAAAAGAGCAAAGAAATTGGTTTCTTTAAATCAAAGAACTCTTTTCTCTGGGTGATATAATTTAATAATAATTATATTTAATCTAATAATAAATATTATTAATTAAAAAAAAAATTACATAAATACAAAAAGTATTAAATTTCATCAAATTTTTAATAATTTAATTTCTAAAGTAATTAATTATTATCAAATAAAGAAATTATTAAAATTATTTATACTTAAATCAATAATAATAACAATAATAATAATAATTAGTCAAAAAATTTTCACGGTGAAAGTTGAAAATTTTTTTTTTTTTGTGGGGGGAAACAAATTTTTTTTTACGCCCCTGTTTAATTATATTAATATATAAATAATAATATATATTAATAAATTAATATATAATTAAACAGGGGCGTAAAAAAAATTTATTTCCCCCCACAAAAAAAAAATTTTCAACTTTCACCGTGAAAATTTTTTGACTAATTATTATTATTGTTATTATTATTGATTTAAGTATAAATAATTTATAGAGCATATATAATACAATTTTAAGAAATTGAAATGAAATTAGCATAAGAGCATAACGAAAGAGAAAGACTAAAAAAAGAAAGAAAAAAAAAAAAATGGTAGAAGGAGAAAAATTATTTTCAGTGGGCGTAACCAGTTTACAATCAGCAGCCGAGCATGATATGGATGGTAATATATAAACTAATTTCCTGATTTCGTTTTCAGATTGACCGCCGAGGCACACTTTGGATAATTTCCGATCGAATGCCAATTTTTCTCATGTCGACCTTGAACTATACGGACATTAATTTCAGAATATTAACGGTACCAGTTCAAGATGCAATTGCAGGTACTGTTTGTGACACAGCGCCCTGGAAACAGCACGTCAGCAATCATCTTTGGTGGAATCGATGATGAAAAAAAAAAAATTGAAATAATAATAAATAAAAACAAAAAAAAAAAAGAAATCATTTCTCACGATTCCTCTTTTTTTTCTTATGTAAAATTTAGAAAATTGTGTTTAGAGATGAGAAAAAATTGTTTTTTTTTTTTTTTTAAAAAAGTTGATCAAAAAAATAAAACAAAACAGGAGGATGTTTCTGTTTTTGCAGAAAAAAAAATTTTTTTATAGGCAAATTATTAATATTAATTAAATTATTTTTTTTATATATAGACGTAGTGTAAATTTTATAGAGACAAAAATTTTTCTATATATATATTTTTTTTTATAAATTATTATTGTAAATAATAATTTTTTATTTATTAAATAATTACGAGTTTTTTAAAATTTGAATTATAAAATATTACACTATTTTTTTAGTCATAAAAATTCCATTTTTTTAGTTATAAAAATTCCCTTTCTTCTAATTAGAAAAATTTAATTTCTTTAATTATAAAAATTGCATTTTTTTTTAAATTACAGGAAAAAAAATCTTTACCTGGAACAGCGATATGTTTCACTAAAACAGCAAAAGTTTTCGCTATTCTAGATAAACATATAGCTGTTGCAGATAAAGATTTTTTCCCTGATATAAAATTATAAAAACTACATTTTTTAAAATTATAAACTTATAAGAAATAGATTTTTTTTTAATTATAAAAGTTATTAAAAAATTACATTTTTTTAAATTATAAAATTATAAACAAAATTTTACAAAATGATTTTACAAAATGAATTATAATTCAAAATTATAATGTATCAGATTTCAGTAAATACGAAAAGAAGAAAAATAATACGAATTTTCTAAAAAAAAAAATTGAGATTGAAATAAAAATTTGGAAAAATTGCGATAAATTTTTAATTATCAGGAATTTTTATGTTTAAAATAATAATAATAAAAAACATGCTTTCATATGTAATGTACCCTATCAATAAAGGACCTCTTGTATGTTTTGAGTCTTAAATTATTTTTTTCCTATTTAATTTCAAGTTAATAATAATATTAATACAGTATAAAATCCCACCGCTGCCACCATGTCACTCCAGCAGTGATAAAAATGATTTTAAAAACAATTTAAAATTATTCCAACAAATTTTAAATTCTCAAAAACTAGTTCTTACAAGTCCAATGTGATTTAAAATGGTCTTAAACTTGTTTAAAATTATTTAAACTCGTTAAAACATGTTTGAAATTAATTTTAAATTGTCACAAACTAGTTCTAATAAGTCCATAGTGATTTTAATGGTCTAAAAATTTTCTTGAAATTTTTTAAACCTTTTGAAACAAGTTCAAAACTAACTTTAAATTGTTCCAAACTAGTTCTAATAAGTGCAAACTAATTTAAAATAGTCTAAAACTTGTTCGAAATTGATTGAACTAGTTGGAACATATTCGAAAGTAACTTTAAATTGTCCTAACAAATTTTTAAATTATCATAAGCTAGTTCTATCAAGTCCAAAGTGGTTTTAAATGGTCCGAAACTTGTTTGCACTTATTCAAACTACTAAAAATGTATTTCAAACAAATTTTGATTTGTAATAAAAATTTTAAACTGTCCAAAACTAGTTTGAATAAATCCAAACTTCTTTTAAATGATTTAAAACTTGTTCAAACTTATCACTCCAGTGGTGATAAATTATTAAAATAAACTGAATTATTATTTTATTATAATAAATATTTTCAATATTATTATATAATATTATAATATATAATTAAAATTTATTATTATAATATTATAATATTATAATATTAATATAATAAATATATTTATTTATAATATGAATAATTTAGTATAGAAATTTAAATTACGCGCCATTTCATATTAGAGGGCGCTGCACTAAGCAACTAGCAATCGAATATTTTAATGTGACGTCATCTTCCCTACCAGATGGTAATTTTTCTCAGATATTTTATTATTATTATTTTATGATCAGCAAATTTCTACAGTAACTAAATTAAAGAAATTATGCCCCAAAGTAATAAAAATGTTAATATGAAAAAAATTTAAAGAAAAATTTTTTTTTTTTTTTGAGAGAGAGGGAGAGAAAACGAAATAAGTCGTTTTTGGTGAAGATGTCTCTCGACATGGTAAGAGTTCCCATTTCTTTTCAGCAGCGCGCATTTATTTGTAAAACACTTGTATGTACGCGTACAAAAGCGAGTAACATTGTGCGCTTCGAATCGAAAGATCTTGGTAGATAGCAATCTAAATACAATCGGTCGTTTACCACGTTACCCATCTTGGTCTTATTTATTCTCTGTCGTTCGCCAGCGCGCCCCTAACCTCACATTTTGCTCTCATTTCATTGTAACTTCTTTTTTTTTTATTCTTTTATTTTTCTTTTACCGCAGCATCCCGCCCAAATAAATCCCAATGATAAAAATCGATATACTACATATATATATATATATATATATACAATATACGTAAATACAACTTTTTTCTTGTATCCGTATTATTCGAATTTAATCGGCGCAAATTCACACTAGAAAATATAATATTTACAATATATGAACACACCGCTGTCACCGGGAAAAAAAAAAATATTTTTTAAAAATATAGAAAAAAAATTCAACATTTTATTTAATTACTAAAAAAAGAAATTAATTTTTAAAAAAATTCTTAATATAATACAAATGTATTTAGAAAATTAATAAAAAAAACAACATATTTTTATAATTAATCGAATTAATTTACAATTGTAATAAAAAATTACAATGCAATTTATAGAGAAATTATAAATTTGTTAATAAAATAATAATAATAATATAATAATAAATAAAGTAATAATAAAAAATAAATAAAATTATTTAATTTCTTTAATTATATTTATTTACACGTGTAAAATTACTAGAAAAATATTTGTGACAATTTTTTTTTTATAAATTTTCGTTAATACTAGGAATAATCTTAAAAAAAAACCTACTAATTGAACCTAAATTGCAGTAGGCTAAGAATAATCAATTTTATTCCATTTTTTTGGATAGAATGTTTTCCTGGAAAATGAAAAAATTCATTACACATTCAAAAAAAAAATTAATCAGCATGTCTCTATTATTTTTTTTACCTTAAACCAACATTGGTAACCTTCAAAAAAACCTACCAATTGAACCTAAATTGCAGTAGACTAAGAATAATCAATTTTATTCCATTTTTTGAAATAGAATGTTTTCCTGGAAAATAAAAAATTCCAAAAAAATTAATCAGCATGTCTCTATTATTTTTTTACCTTAAACCTACATTGGTAACCTTCAAAAAAACCTACCTATTGAACCTAAATTGCAGTAGACTAAGATTAATCAATTTTATTCCATTTTTTGAAATAGAATATTTTCCTGGAAAATGAAAAAATTCCTTACAAATTCAAAAAAAATTAATCAGCATGTCTCTATTATTTTTTTACCTTAAAACAACACGTATAACTTTGTTTTTAATTTTTTATAATTTTGTATTACTAGACTTTCTGAAGAGGAAATCAGTGTGATTTCGATTCCTTTGGGGAAAATTTAATTAAAAATCCATTTGTCCGAATGTTATCGTTTTTTGTTGCATAACCTTTTTTTTTAAATTACTATCGCCCTTTTTATATTTTTTATAATTTTGATTTTGTATTTTATTATAATCATATTTTTCCAATAGAAGTATAAGAAAAAAAAAATTATCAAAACAATTATAACAAATGGTAAAATTAGTTAAGGCTTTAGAAATAATATAGTTTGTGGGGGGGGGGGGAAAGAGGGGTCCTACGTAGATTTTTGGGCGTCAAATCTGGGAGCGCCACACGGTGGTCATATTTTATACTCGCGTGGGCGTGAAACGGATAATTTTCGAAGGAGCGAGAAAACGATACACACACACACACACATTCTCTCTGGTGTTCTGTGATCGTATATCAGGAGAGATCGCGCTCGTACCCTACAAATTATCGGAAACAAGAGCCAAACTAATGGGGCACACACACATACGCACTGCGTGTTTATTCCAAATGTGTGGCGAACCATCTGGCTCCTGCGGGGCTGATTCATACCGATTCGATCGTCCTCTTTTCACGCGGTACAACACTATATAGAAATTAGGGCCATGTTTAGAGGAATATTAACCTAATGCAACCAAAAGAAAAGAATAGCGCCCAAAGTGTAATATGCGCGCGCGTTCCATAAAGAGGACGGAATATATATATATATATATATTTTTTAAAAAAGAGATAAACTTTCTAACGAGGTCGGTTTTTTAAACAAAAAAAAAAATTCTGTCCTTTTCTTAAAAAAAAAAAAGAACAAAATCTTTACGAAAGAATATTTTTATCTGATAGTAATAGTAAAAAAAAGATTACAATTTTTGTTTTTTTTTTTTTGATAAAATAAAAATATTAAAATTAGTAATTTTTTTTCACTTACCATTTGAGGTTTAATAAAAGAGATCCAAATTCCATTAACCTGTTAATAACAACAATAAAAATACAATAGATGAATAAAAATAAAATAGAATTGAAAAATAAATATAAATTTTATTTAAAAAAAAAACACAAATAAGTACTAAAACTACTTTGAAATATATTTTAAACTTGTTCGTAACTATTTAAAACATGTCCAAACTATTTAAAACTATTTAAAACTAGTTTGAACTAGTTTTAATACAAGTTCGAAAGTATTCAAAACATGTCCGAAACTAGTTAAAAACTAGTTTTAAAACAGGTTTGAAACTGTTTAAAATATGTTCAAAACTAGTTCGAAGTAGTTTTAATACATGTCCGAATCTATTTGAAACTAATTAGAACTAGTTTTAATGCAAGTTCGAAAGTATTCAAAACATGTCCGAAACTAGTTAAAAACTAGTTTTAAAACAGGTTTGAAACTGTTTAAAATATGTTCAAAACTAGTTCGAAGTAGTTTTAATACATGTCCGAATCTATTTGAAACTAATTAGAACTAGTTTTAATGCAAGTTTGAAAGTATTCAAAACATGTCCGAAACTAGTTTAAAACTAGTTTTAAAACATGTTTGAAACTATTTAAAATATGTTCGACACTAGTTCGGACTAGTTTTAATACATGTCCGTATCTGTTCGATACTAGTTTGCATACAAGTTAGAAAGTATTCGAAACATATCCGAAACTAGTTTTAAAACATGTTTAAAACTATTGAAAATATGTTCGAAACTTGTTCGAACTAGTTTTAATACATGTCCGAATATATTTGAAACTAGTTTAGTTTGAAAAACAAGTTTAAACCAAGTTCAAAAAAAGTTTGAAACAAGTTTAAAACCATTTCAAACATGTCCGAAACTGTTTGAAACTAATTTAGTTTGAAATAGGTTTCAAATATGTTCGAAAATATTTAAAAACATGTCCGATACTATTTGAGACTAATTTAAAACATTTAAAATTAATTTTTAAAACATTTCTGAAACTAGTTTGAAATAGGTTTAAAACATGCTCTAATCTATTTAAAATGTGTCTGAATCTTTTTGAAACTAGTTTGAAATAGATATGAAACATGTCTGAATCTGTTTGAAACTAGTTTTTAAAAAAACTAGTTTGAAATAGGTTTGAAGCATGTTCGAAACTATTTAAAACATGTCCGAAACTGTTTGGAAACTAATTTGAAATAGGTTTAAAACATAGTTGATGCTATTAAAAAAAATATGTCCTAAACTATTTGAAACTAGTTTTAAAACATGTACGTAACTATTTGAAACAAGTTCGAACTAGTTTTAATACATCTTCGAAAGTATTAAAAAAAAAAAAAAAAAAAAACATGTTCGAAACAAGTTTGAACTAGTTTTAATACATCTTCGAAAGTATTTAAAACATGTCCAAAACTTGTTTTTAAATTTTTATAAAACTAGTTTGAAATTGTTTCAAATATTCTAAAACTAATAAAATTCCAATTATGGAAAATACATATTTTTTTGTATATTTATTTAATATAAATAATACTATAGTTGGGAAAAAAATAACCAATTACTGAATTGTCCATAATTTATTAAAACTTGTTCGATTTATATTTATAAAGCAGAAATAAAAAAAAAAAATGAAATTTAAAATTATTTCTCGGTGAAATAATAATTGAAGTATATATGTGAAATTTTGAAATTTAATTAAATTGTATTATAAGCCACTGTTTTTCTCCACAAAATGAAGAAAAAAAAAACAAGAAAAGAAATTGCTTGAGGCTACGATACCTTATAGCTAATAGGATAAGATCTCTTGGCGCATAGTTGTCCGGGTTAAGAAACCCTGAAGCGTGGATCTTGTTGTTGAGGATCGTGTTATTACATTATATTATATACCACTACAGACTATCGTGAATCATCGAGATGTATTAGATGATGGTTTCTCTCTCTTACATATAGTATCGAAGATACCAACTGTAATAATTGTAAAAGTATCTTCAGAATCTCAATTCCTCTCTCTCTCTCTCTCCCTCTCTCTCTCTCTCTCTCTCTCTCTCTCTTTTGCGTCCTAAGATATAATTAATCAAAGTGTAGGGTACAGCATCATAAAATACTTTCATTCACTCAATTTTTGGAAGGTGTTCATTATCTATCTAACACTTTCAAATATAATTCTCTCTCTCTCTCTCGCGCGCTCTCTCTCTCTCTCTCTCTCTCTCGCTCTCTCTCTCGCACGCGCGCTCTCCCCCCCTCTCTCTCTCTCTCTCTCTCTCTCTCTTTTTCTCTTTTCCATAAGTTAACAAACCCAATCGTAATTCATTCATTTCATTTGGAAAACAAATAAATAGTAATTATCAAAGAATTCGAATAAAAAAGTTATTTTGTAAAAAAAAAAAAATTATTTTTTAAATTTAATATATTTTTTATGGTATAATAATTTAATAAAATTATAGTTTAATAATTGTAATTATAATTTTTATTTGCTGGTAAATAAAAAAATTTTTAGATTTTGAGGTTATGTCAATTGGTTGAATCTCTCTTTAGGCAGATGGTCAAATTTTTTTCTGATTATCCACATTCTAAGAAGTTGCTACGTGTTTTATATTTTATCGATTGAAAAAAAAAGAGGGGGAGACGAATTTTTCTACATAAAATGTATAATATCGTGATTCTCAATCTCTCTCTCCTTCTCTCTTGAACCCAGTAAAAAAATTTTTAGGACTTTTAAACACAAAGTGCCTTTTAGGCGAAAACTGTGAATTTCTAGAGGCGAGAGAGAGAGGGGGGGGGGAGGGAGGGAGAGGGAGGGAGAGAGAAAAAAGATTTCTCGAGAGATTCACGCCTCGAATGCTAATTCTCCTCTCCTCGTAGTTGAAAAATATCGATAGATCGTGAAATGCAATAGTGTGTTTAAAAGTGGATTCGATGCAGTCGCGAGGGGTAAAAAAAAAGGTTCAACTTTTATTCCAATCAATAACCGCGATCAGTAGCGAAAAAGAAGGAGAGAGAGAGAGAGAGGGGGGGGGGGGAGAGACTTTTAGGATCCTGCGTCTTTTCAATTTTCAAGATGAAAAAAAATATAAAGAATTCAAGAGAGATTTTCCTCAAAGATAGAAAACAAATTATTTTTCTAAATCCTCCTTTTAGAAAAAAAACCAATTTTCCACTTTAATTTTCTTCAAAAAAAAAAAAATAAAAATAAAAATAAAATATTCGCAATTTCAATTTTTTTTTTCAAAAAAATTCTCGAGAAATACAATTTGTATATTAGAATATACTATATTTACAAGAACGTTTCTGTACATGTCCAAAACTATTTGAAACTATTTTAAAACATGTTCGAAACTAGTTAGAAATAGTTTAAAATCTTTTGGAAACTATTTGAAATTAGTTTGGTTTAATTTAACTTGTTTAAAATTATTTTAAACTAGTTTTGAAATATTTCTGAAACTAGTTTGAAATAGATTTCATACATGTTTGAAACTATTGAAAAACATGTACGAAATAGTTTGAAACAAGTTTAAAACATGTCCAAATCTATTTGAAACTAGTTTAGTTTGAAATAGGTTTAAAACATGTTCAAAACTATTTAAAATATGTCCGAAACTGTTTGAACCTAATTTATTTTTAAATAGCTTTGAAACATGTTCGAAACAATTTAAAACATGTCCAATACTCTTTGAGATTAGTTTCTAAAATATTTCTGAAACTAGTTTAAAATAGATTTCATACATGTTCGAAACTATTTAAAACATGTTTGAAATAGTTTGAAATATATTTACAACATGTCCAAATCTATTTGAAAATAGTTTAGTTCGAAAAAAAGGTTAGTAACATATTCTTAACTATTTAAAACATGTCCAAAGCTGTTTGAAACTAGTTTAAAATAGTTTTAAAACATGTCCGAATCTGTTTAAAACTAGTTTAGTCGGAAAAACTAATTTGAAGTAGATTTGAAATATGTTTGAAACAATTTAAAATACGCTCAAAACTATTTGAAACTAATTTAATTTGAAATCTAGTTTGAAACAGGTTCGAAACTATATAAAACATGTACGAAACTGTTTGAAACTAGTTTGAACTAGTTTCAATACAAGTTCGAAATTATTCAAAACATGTCCGAAACTAGTTTAAAACTAGTTTTAAAAAAATGTTTTAAACTGTTTAAAATATGTTCGAAACTAGTTCGAAGTAGTTTTAATACATGTCCGAATCTATTTGAAACTAGTTTGAACTAGTTTTAATGCAAGTTCAAAAATATTCAAAACATGTCCGAAACTAGTTCAAAACATGTCCGAAACTAGTTTAAAACATGTTTGAAACTAGTTTTAAAATATTTTTTTATTTATAACATTCCATATACACTGGAAAAAAAATTTATTTTGATTTAAATAATAATTGATTACTTGACTATTATTAAAAAAATATACGTTTACATGAACCAATTAATTCTTTTTATTTGAATTAAATAAACTTTTATTTAAAACAATAATTTTTCTATTTAATACAAAAATCATATTAAATTGAATTTGTGAATATCAATTATTAAATATAAATAAAAATTTATAAAAAAAAGTAACCGTTTATTTGGATCAAAAAAAAAAAAAAAAAATTTTTTTTTCCCTCTATCTAAAATTAATTGGAACAAGTTCAATGGAGAAAAATCAAACATTGGCGCCAATTAAAAAAAAAAAAATAATAAAATTATTTTCTCCAAAAAATTTTGATTTTTCAAACTAAATAAAAAAAAAAACATGTGGCATATATATATATATATATATATATATGGTAAATTTTAATTTTTTGCGGGGATTATTTTTTTATTCTCTCTCAACTATCACAACAGTCGATAGGTTCTTGTAAAAATTTGTAATTCGTTGGCTCTCACGAATAATGAGGGGAAAGGTGCGAAGGTCGAGAGAAGGATGAGAGTGTGCGCGCCGCGCTTTTGAATGATGAAAGGAAAAAAAAAAAAAGAAAAAAAAATAAAATTAAAAAAAAAAACCTTGCAGAAAATCGCCGCGCGTTGATTACACGGTAC